CAAAATCTTCACGAAGCTGTAGGTGATACTCAAGAGTGCGGGAACGCTGAATTCGAATGGGCAGTGCAGGGGATCATTACCCTAAAATTTCAGCTTCCTAGATTCCGTGATTCCTGAGATACTAATTTACCCGTAAAAAACTTTCACGAGGCCGTACGTGTTACCCGCGGGTAAGGAAGACTGAATTTAAATTTGCCGCGTCACCCGTTGGCGGGGAACACTGTACCAAAATTTCAACCGCCTAGCTTTTGTGGTTCCCGAGTTGAAAGTGCGGGACAAAATGTGGGATACACACACCTACAACCCCGTGACAATATGTGTTTTGTATCGCTGTTACACAGCACAAAACGCATAAAAAGTGACACTCAATACTATGGCAAAAGAGGCAAAAAGAGTTGTTATTTTGGTTGCGGAGTTTCAACTTCAAAGTACACTCCTCGTAGAACTGAAACCAGATGAGCTGAAGGCTGCTAAAAACTGATCCAAGACCGAGTAATCTGGAGAGCTTGCTAGGTTTGCAACACACCGTAAAGATGACAAACCTGAGAGCAAACCATGATCCGACTATCAGAATATGACGGCAAAAATCGACAGAAAGAAGGTGCCATTGGGAGAGGTACTGGTGGCAAGCTACGCAATGTCCTCAAATCATAAACCATCAAAAATCGATCGCCTGTGAGTTTACCCATCCTGAAAACAAAACGCCATTATACCCGAATTTTTACAACAAGAAGCGAACGAACAAAAAATGTCCCGTTTCGCCCTTATGCACCGAAAAAGCAGCTCCTCCGCACGCAATGTAACAGCCAGAAGCTCACGCTGCAACTTCTTCAGTGCTTCTGCCCTACTTGTTTGTAAGGTAGCACCAGTATGCCAATCTAACTGTCAGTACTGAGCGTCCAAATTTCATCGTTTTCACTTGCCCACAACTAAGCACAGTACCCCCGTTGCTAAACTGTTGCCTTTGTAGCTTAATTTTTGTTCTTTTCTTAAGCAAAACCCTCTGCGCCGCACAGGCTGCTGAAGGCAAACGCATGAGCAGGATGGTTAAAACGAAGTATGGGAATAAGGGCTGATCAGAAACTTTCTTTCAAAAAAAAGCTACAAGGACAATTGTCGTGAATAAAAACAAAAAAAAGGAAATGAAGAGACTAAGCAGTCCGTATAATTAAATGTTTTAACCTCGGTGAATAACCGCATGTGATAAGTTTATTGCCAGAGACATCGAAATCAGCGACCGATCCCTGATGCGCTTGTAAAGCATGCAAAGCGTCCACTGTTGTCATATGACGCAGAGTAATCTGAAGCCAAGAAAGTGCACATGCATTGCTCAAAAAAAAAAAAAATTAAACTCAAAAATTGCATTGTTCGTGGAGGAGTTTCCAAACACCAGCACTTTATGTCTAATAAAAACTTACGTTCCCTTCGGAATCTGAGCTGAACAAAAATTTCTGATTTGATCGTAATGCCAAGCAGTTTTTCTGTTTAACAAATGCCTGAAAAATTGCTCTTTTTTTTCTTATTCTTTAATGAAATGTTTATATTTTTTCTTATGTTGTTATCTATATTACAATGAGAAATGAAATTTCATACTCAAGGACGTTAAATCTTAAATATTTTTATTTCCTTTGTATATGACTAAATTGCTAAATTGTCTAGCAAATGGTGCACCTCACTGATTAATTATTTATGTTTTATGTTGGCGAGCCAAGAAAAAAAAAGCAAGATAGCGTTACTTTTGTGCTGATGGCCAAGGACTCGGCTCTGGCAAAGAAGTAATCAAACCCTTTACGATATGGTTATTCGTTTCTATGGTTAACTGGCACCAGTTCAAAAAGGGATCAGAATCGCTATCGATTCGCTTACCAGTACCGCTCAGAAGAGAGGAACTATCAGCAACCTTGTCAGCGACTGGCTGCTGTTGGCAGCAGCTACCAACTGAGCTACTGCTATATACCTCTGTCGCTCAAGGAGAGTCAATGAGGGGGATAACTCATCTAAAAACTATATCAAAATTTCTCCTTTGTCTGTAGCGGATCCTCAAATGCAAGCAATGCCTGCAGCCGTAGTTCCAAGAAGCAACAAAAGCAATGAAACTAACGATTCGTATTTCCTTCTGCGTTTCCACATCGAACTGAATAATTTGTTGCTGATTGCCACCAAGTAGCAATTTATGTGGTGCATTGGGAAGCCGATGAAGGCACGTCAAATCAGTCATGTGATCCGAGCTGCAAGCATGCAAACACACACATATATGCACCAAAACATTAAACTTTTATAAATCAACAAACCTAAAAAATTTTGGTCCAAATAGCGAAAATAAACAGGTAGTAAGAACAAACAGGAATGTGCATCTCCCAGTCGGTAGGGGGTCCCCACTGTGGCCTTAAATTGGCAACGGTAGGATGAAGGAAATCTTGGACGGCTAGAGCTTTATCAAGTGCTTCTGATGGAAAAACATAGAACAATCTATCCAGGAAACGAAACAACAAAATGGCTTAAAAGTTAAAACGGCTGGAAAAAAAGCCAGCTGCACGGGAGGAGGAACACGATAAAAGGCCCAAGCATCCAAGTACGGGGTCAAGAAACGGGAAGGGCGGAGGGGATGTAAAGGCTAATTTTACGTTTCTGAACAGATACACGGTCGGAAATCGTGCCCCAAAAATTCAAGCTCCCCTGTTTTTGCGGTACTGAAGAAATAAGACAATCAAACAAAACTACACCCCCTCCCTTTCCCAAAAATGGGCAGATCCAAGCATAGCGTGTTTTATTTCACACATACGCAAAAAAGTACCAAAAAATAAATCATTAAAATCTGAAAAAAAGAAAAAAGACTGACGTATGTGAGAACAACGAGATTCCCTGGCGACGGTTAGCTTTTAAACGAAGCGG